TAAGATATGGATTCGGTTTTATTTGAAGTTATTTCAGGTATATTAGCTAGGCGTAACTATTTTGGAACGGGAAACCTATCCCGTCATGTATCTGTTATAAATTCTTCGTCCCTTAACCCGTTTCGTATACTTGAAATAAAAATATTATGGTCATGTGTCCATCATAAATAGAATATGTGTAATTGAAAATGTATGTGTAAGGTTATGTGTGTAAACAAATTTATTTTATGTAGTGCTCATAACCCGAACTCATACCAGTTGAGTATTTAGTTTGATTTTTAATTTATATTCCTCTCCCATCTCGTCACGTAATCTTAAAATCCTCCATTGATAAAACTTTTTAAACGGTAGTGTTTTAATTTTGAATTAAAATGATATTTTTATTTGTATTTTTGATATAGAATAATTTATTAGGATTGGTTTAGATAAAATGTAAGTTGGATATCAAATCTTAGTTTTTCAATTTTCATTGGTTAATAATTTTTTTGAAATTAATTTAATATTTTCGTCCATAATTAATAAGAGAGAGAAAGTGAGTTTAATTTTTTGGAAACTAATAATTACTTAAAATAATTTTACTATATTTTATTTAAATATATTAAATTTGTGATTATCTATTGTACCCTTAATGAATTTATTTAAAAACACTAAAAACCAATGGCATCTTAGGTAATATTGTATCTTTCATAAGGTTATTTAATATCTAGTGATTCCCAATTAATAATATAGATTTCTATATTATCCTATATAAAACAGGAAAATAAACAAATATTAAATTTTTTGAAAAAATGTTTTTTGTAACCTGTAAATAAGAAAATTCTGAAGGGTAGCTGAATTACTAGTTAGTAAAAAATAAAGAATTTGGACTTGTCTTTTTTGTTCTGGATAATGGAAGATTTTGGAGTTTAGATTTGTCTAATATTATCAGCTTTTATGGATTTCGGTACATAAATCTTTTAAAAAAAGGTCCAAAGTGTCTCTTTCTTCGAATGTTTACATTTCAAAGATTCACAGAAGCCAGTTATAAAGTAAAGAAAAGAGGAGTTTAGATTTTACAACGAAACCTGAAATCCAACCGCATATATATAAATTACACTAGTTAACAGAAAGAACATAATACATAATTAATAATGGTGAAATCAACCAAGAAGAGATATAGAAAATCAGCCTAAAGACTTCTCTAATGGTCATAGCCAAAGGCTAGCTCGAAAATCTGCTCATATTCATTCACGAAATGAACTTCGAGCCCTTCTTTCACGTTTTCCGCCAGCTCATCAAAATCTCGCCGGTTAGCCTCCGGGAATATTATCACCTTCACTTGACTCCGCTTTGCAGCTATTGTCTTCTCTTTCACCTGACAAAGAGATAGAGAGAGAGATATATATTTTGTGTATTAGTACAAGAAAGTGGTAACTAAAAAGCTAAAACAGAGTAATTGTGTTTTGTTTTACTTACGCCGCCAATTGCAAGAATTCTACCCGTCAAAGTGACTTCTCCGGTCATTGCAAGATCCTTCCTTACTGGCTTCTTCGAGGCAAGTGATAGCAATGAAGTTATCATGGTGCAGCCTGCGCTTGGACCGTCTTTTGGAGTGGCTCCTGCAGGTACATGTAAATGAAGCTTGGAATTCGCAAAGAACTTGTTCTCCGGTTCTTTCTCCAGCATTATTCTTCTGGCGACTGTGTGAGCAATCTCTGCGCTTTCTTTCATCACATCCCCAAGCCGACCCGTTATATGAAGACCACCTTTGCCTTCTCCTTCTTCTACAAAGGTTGTCTCTATGTACAATGTTGAGCCCCCCATGGATGTCCAAGCTAGACCCATTACAACCCCGACTGGTGTCTGTTTGTATATTTTCTCTGCCTGAAATACTGGCTTGCCTATATAATCTGAAAGGTTTGATTCATCAATCATAAACTTTTCAGCTACCTCTCCGCTCTGCTCAGTCGTTGATTCTGTTAAATCCCCAGTTGCCAAATCATCTGTCAACACAGTGGATCCTTCTGAAAGGTTCGATTCCTCGTAATAATCATCTAGGGTTTTCCGGAATCTGCGCTCCGTCTGAAATACAATCTTTTACAGCAAATCACTCCCC